CGGAATTGAGTTTCCATCTTCACTTAGGAGTGGAGAAAAATGAGCAAAGAGAAGAAATAATTTTGGCTAGATTTCTTAACTGAACTGTACCTAGTAGAAATTTTTTTCTATACACGGACACTCTAACACTCTGGCCCATGTTTTGGAATATAAAGGCTGGACAAGATCTTCCTATCATGTAACCAAATCAGAAATCATGTTGGTCTGATGAAGGAGAGGGGTCCGGTCTGTGATGGACACTGGAAGAGGGGGTGCTTATCATAATCAAGCAGGGGAGAAGGACAGGGTCAACTCTTTAAAAGTATCAAGTCTGGTCTGTCCTTTGGTCATTAACTATGTCTAAAGAGATCTTTAAAGGAGAGTTTTGAAGACAAGAGCTTTATAAAAGCTTCCATATCTGGGTATGGGATTCCAGTATACCACTTTTGGGTATACAGGAAAAGCTCCTTGACATGTGTATCTGAAAGAGGGGGGTCTCAACAACAGTGTCACCCCACACACTGTAGCACCAGTAAAGGTAGGGGGTATTGCATCCTGAATTCTTCCCTTAAGGAACTTACTTTGATTGATTTTCTTTTAGAAAATTAAGTCTGAGATGATAGAAGGTGATGCCATCTCCATTTCTCACGCTTGACTTCTGAGATGCATTCATAGATGCTATTGCAGTCAGGCAGCTTAGAAATGAATGTCTGTTTGGTGCGTGCTGCAGCTGCTATCTGGGTTTGCCCAGGGGAGTGTGCTGTACATGTGAGGTATATCTGTGTTCTCTGGAGAGGTAGAAAAAAATTGAAAATACTTTCACACAGGTTTTACCATAGACACTAGCTCGGCGTCTTGATCACGGCATATTTAATTTGAATTTAATTTCATAATTTAATGTTTCGCTTATTTTTAGATGCTTTCTTTTCCCCTACATCATTGTTATTTATTGGACAGTACTTGGCTTCTCCCCTCAGGTGTGTCCCCATTGTTTTTTCCCACCACCAAAGCACCCATGACCCACCACCACAGTCCTTGGAGTTTGGCCTATGTAACATCATATACCTCTCTACCTTCCTTTCCTATTCCATATTTGAGTCTCTGTGTATCCTCACACGTGCCATTCTTGTTTAAGATGCTTTTGCCATTGGCTCTTTTGCCTTGAGAAACTTTCTTTCTTTCTTTTTTGTTTAGAGAAAGAAAAACTTTATTAAGGAGAAATAAAGTGGGACTTCCTGGCTTATCTACCTCAAGGCCTTAGCTATCCACCCAAGGAGGCAGCAATTGTTTCTCTCCCATTGTGCCTACACAGAAGCCAGAACAGAGAACCAGAAAATGGTCAGCCTTTCTCTCCAGCGTTCGTGGTTCCTTACATTAACTAGATGTAAATACGCTTTTCTGGTATTTGAAGATTGGAGCACACAAGACTGTCAGTGGCGGTGAGCAGTCAATGAAAAATCTACAAGAAAAAGTTGGCGGAGTGACTCACACTTTATAAGAACATCTGCATCCATAAATTTGGAAATGGGAAGGCTACATGTCTTCCAAGGCTTTTTTACCCTCACATCTCTTCAGAACTTCAAAAGTCAGATAGTTGAGAAAATGGGCTAAGCAGGTCAGAAATCTAACTTACAGTTCCTTCCCAACACATTCACTGAACTTTCTTGGCAAATGGAAGCCTCTTTCATTATTCATTACTTCAGTGCATTCTTATCAATTGCCTACTCTGGGTCAGGTATTGCAGGTTGCTGGGGATACAATGCTTGTTTTCAGGGAAGTGTCGAGACTTCTTGGGGCGAGGAAGCAGGAGTAAACAGAACATTGCAATTCACAGGGGACCACAGTACCCAAAGATGACAAAAACATGTATAATGGACTAAGTTGTACCCCACAGGACCTCCTATCTGCTTTGCACAAAGGAAGATCTGCTGCCATTTGCCCCTTTCTATATAAACAAAGACTTTGTATTGTGGTCTGGAACATTTGTACTGCTGCTGAGAGAATGCAAAGCCTGGGATAAATTCTTTATGGTGATAGGTGTATTTGGCAGTGGGGAGCTTAAGGAATTTTTAACTGTTAGCTATAAAAGACAAGAAAATAATTTTTGCTCCCCGAAAGCAATAAAATTTCAGGACTGAGACAGAATTTTGCTGGTAACAGACAATGGAACTTTCTCTACTGTTTATGTGTGTGAATTTTTAAGGCTCTTTAAGAGGATTTCAAAGGGAGAAAACACATTTCTTGTTTGCTTTAAAAATAAATTATTTAAAAGAACAAAGAATTTTGTGTGTGCATGTGTGTGTGTGCGCACGAGTGTGTGTGGGTGGAGGATGGCACATATTCTTCCCAATTGGAGCCTACCTGTCTCCATATTCCAGTTATTCTTGGTCCACCATGGTGCCAAGTGCCACAGCAGTTCTCTGATTCCCACTGCTCTTCAAAAACACCTCTTCCCTTTACTTGTCTATCCTTGCTTGCTTCCACAAATTGTCACAACCCCATTCTTGATACTACAGGAACACCATTCTCATCTCTCTCTGTCATTGCTTCCTAATATGTCTATGTACTGTGACAGCCGCTAACAAGTGGGCATAAATGATAATAGTATTAACATCACCAGCGTGAGGCTTCTCCACTGCCAGATACTTAAGGCCCAATTCCACTACATCATTAAGCTGTAGCTTTTGGAGCAATTCAGTCATTGTAGGACTCAAATTCCTTCTTTATGAAATAATGACAGCAGTACTATATACTAAGTAAAGTGTTTCGTTATGTAAATAAGATTAGACAATTTGCATGAAGGGAACTGGGTTCTAAGCAGGCACTTAGCTTCACCGGGGCAGATCAAGTTCTTAGTAAGTATTTATTGTATCAGCTGAGTGAGTATTTTTGTGAGAGAGTAGTTTTCTTCAGCTTTATTCAGCTGCTTTTCCACTATGTTTTAGTAATTCAGATTACTGATACAGAAGAGGTACAAATATTAGCATTTTAAACTTTAAAATGTTTTGGGCCACGATAGGGGCTGATAGTGAATAGCACATGGAGGTACAATTCATAAAGTCTTAACTTAATTCTATTAAAATAGCCAAGCTTCAATATAATGTCATCTTTTGCCCATCATTCAATCTCAGTTTTCAACTTTCTGGAAGAGAAGTACAGTTGTTAGGAATGGCGCCTACCACGTGCTTTTAGGAAATTAGTCCCAAGACACTCTCAACTATGCCTTCTGCTGTCCCAGAAACACCCTCTGATGAGACTGATACACTCAATTACCTGCTTTTGTTTTGTATGGAAGTCACAGGGATTATACCATTGAGAGGTACAGAGAGGATTGTGGGCCAGCACACATGCTCTTTTTTTTTTTTTTTTAGAAATCCACCTGCTCTGCTTGTAGGTATGACCTATGATAGGAAATGAATTCAGGCAAATAGTCTCTCTAGAGCTGGCTTTGAACTTTCTCAGCTCTACCATCTATGGTTGATGCCAGGGGGTCACAGGTTAAATTTACTTAAGCCCCACTATTTGGAAGAAATTAGGAAAATTAGGCCCCAGGTTAGGGTTCTTTCTTTTCTTTCCCTTTCACTGATTACAATGCGATTTTTAATTTTTTTTAAAAAGGTCAAACCAAACCAAACAAAACCCTCCAGGAAAAGCAGACTTCCAGATGTCTTGTGCCTAGCCAGCAGCAGCAAGTAGATGAGTGAATGTAAAGCATATCTATAATTCAACTCCGGAATATTTCTCTTAATAATTAATTGAGCGCCACAAAAGCAGGAGGCCCAATAGGGCCCTTGAACAAAGCTGCCAGCTGATGATGACAGTGGCTGCCTGAATGCCAACTGACCCACCCAAGGTCGGATTTGCTCCAGCAGTCCCAGTCAGCTCGTTCGTGGTCACTGCTTGCTTGATTGACCGAACAGGGGAATGGGGAAAGGTGCCCAGTGCTTTGGTCGCCTCCGGAGCTTGTGTGTGTGTGTGTGTGCGCGCGCGCGCGCGCGCTCGTGTGGCACGCGCTGCTGCTGCTACTCACACTTTTCACTACTTACTACCTTTCTTTTGATGGATTCGTGAAACTACATATTTGTATGCATGTCTAGGGGCATTTCACAAGCCAGCCATCTAATGAGCAACCTCCAGAGAAAAACAAACCCCCACCCCGTTGCCACTCCCCAAATGCGATGTGATAACACCTCTGCAGGCACACTCACCTGTCCGCGTGCGCGCAAGAGTATGTGCGCGCGCGTGTGTTACCTCCCAGGAGCAAACCCATCCGGAGGGGTATTATTTTTTGCTGCAACAGGTTCACCGAGGGCACCACCAAATCATCCAAAACTCCCAGCCTCCCCATCCCCTAGGGGACGTGCATCCTGCCCAGAGCCTTCTGATTTTCTTCCCTCGGACATCTGTCTCCGGTACACAGCCGTCAGCCTGGGCCAGATTCCAATTTCTGCAACCCTCCCTCCCTCGGTCGAACACAAGTTTAAAGTCGGTTTCCTCCTCGCGCCGGCGGTCCGACTCCCAAGTTGAGGCTAACAAACTGTGCTAGGGAGGCGGGACCCAGCTGCCCGCCGGAGAGGTACTGGGACCACAACCATACAAACCCGTCCCTGGAAGGAGAGTGGGGGTGGGGAGGTGTGTCGGCGCGGGTGGGATAGAGAGTGCGGGTCAGGAAAAGGGGAGAAGCGCAGAAACGCAGTGGTGGTGGAGGCTGGACCTCCCGTCCAGGTTTCCCCTCCCGACCTTTCGTTGTTCAAGCCCCGCCGTCGGGACCCGCATTTCCACGTGGACACCCGTCCCTTCGCGATTGGTCCCTCGCCTGGGTGCGACAGTCAGGGGCTCCTGGAGTGGTTTCCAGTCGCTCCCCAGAGCCTCGGCGTCGGGGGACAGCGCGGCGGCCGCGTCGTGACTGCACCGCCCAGCCGCGCGGGGAGGCGCCCCGGCGACCGCGGCGAAGGCCACACCCTCGGCACGGCCCTGGCCCCGCCCCCGGCCGGCGCGCGTTTGCGGCCAGGGGAGGCGTGTGCTGCTTCTGCAGCCTGCGAGAGGGAGAGGGATGAATGTTGGAGGAGGAATTCGGGCTTAACAAGTGATCTCTGCTGTCTAGGATTTTGTTTTTTTTTCTGGGGAATCTCGACATCCTTTCCCAGCCAAGTCTGTCTGTGCTGAACTCCTGAGGATCCAGGAATCTTGGGGTCCTCCCTGAGGCTGTCCCGATCCCCTTCCCCAGGCTTCAGCAGCGAGGACTGTGTCCCTCTGGCCAGCCGACAGAACTTGTTCCGTGGATATTGTGGAGCCGCCACCTGCCACACCGGAGCGATTCCTTCTACACCCAAGATCTTTTCACCCCTCCTCCAGCTGTTGCAGGGAGAGGGGAAATCAAAACCAACCGGGTGATTTTTCTTTCTTTTTCTCTCTCTTTTTTCCCCCCTCACCCTGCCTGGAAACGGTAAGTATGATACCGATGTTATGCTTCCTCCACTTTCCTCTTTTGGCTGTTAAGAAACAGTGGACATTTGAGGGATAAATAATATCGGGAATGTGACAGAAGGGCATGAATGGAAGGCGGTTAAAAATAAACCAGGAGGTGGGAGAAGGGAGGTGCAGATACTGCGCGGCGCTCTGGGGGGCCAGCAGTTGTTATTTTCCCAACCCCGGGTATGGGGTGCGTGCGCCCTGTTTAGTGTACTGGAGCGGGAACCTAGTGCCGGAGGCGAGGGCGCTATTAAAGATGTCGTTGCCCAACGAGATGGGATTAGGTCTAGCATCCTTTTGCCACATCCCAGACTCACCGGTTCCATTCCTTTGGGAAGAGCTGGTGAACGGGTTTGAAATGCTGCCTCTCCCAACATTTGGATTTGCGTGCATTTTCCGTATAACTGTATGTATAAATGGCGTGCAGTGAAGTGCATATTTCTCAGGGTGCTGGCCTTTCTGATTCTCTCAATCTCTCTTTTTATGATTAGGTTCAGGTACCACCCTAAAACAGTTGCAGGAATTAGCCCTGAGAATGATTGCAGCCTTGTTGTTGGGGGAGTGGGGGCGGAGGAGGAGGGGCTGGATGCTTGACTGTTGCTGGGGGTTTAGGGAATGAGAATAGGTAGTCTGCAAAACCCTACTAGTTGTTAATGGTGTTAAAGAGGAAGGAAAATTTCCCCGTTCATGTCTCCCCCCCCCTCCCCAACCCCAAAAGGTTCCTTGAGTCTGTTTGAATCGATTCTCTTAATATGAATACCTTGAGAAGGAAGAGATATTTTAAACCAAACTGCTTTGCTAGGTGATAGGTTGTGTGTTTTTTTCTTTCTTTTTTTCATTTGTTTCCATAAAGCTCAGGACTAGTGAGGTAACTGGTAGCCAATTGAAAGGAAGGTTATTTGCTTTTTGTAGCATGGGGGAGTTAGGTAAACAAAAACTAACAAACCAAAATAAATAAATACTTAATATAGTGCAGAAAGATAACAAATCTACATTTTTTTGAAGAGTTGATGGTGAATTTGAAGACCTTCTTAGTCACCTCCTTCTGGGAATCTGTTGGACAAGAGAGGGGTGTGCGTAGTATATAAATACACAGGTACTTTTGTCACACTGGGGGTTTATTTAAAACTCTATTTGAAGGAATTGGGGAAGAAATTGAGCAAACTCTCAGGCTTTGTGGCTTGTAAAAATCTTTAAAGGGTGTTGGTCTTTCTACTGTGAATGCAACTAGAGAGTGTTTTTGTAAATAGAAATTTGAAGACCTAAGGGTAACTTTCATTTCAGAGCATGAGTGATATCTAGAGTCAGGCAAAGGAAGAAGGAAGTCTTTTGAAATATCTTCAGAGATGCAGTTTCTGGTTTTGTGTTCCAGTCAAGCCCTCCTCTTGCCCCAGGGTACTCTTTGATTGGGAAGAGGTGTATGATTGGGGAGCATACTGTTTGCCTCTCCCTTGCTTGTCACTTCATAAAAAATCAGGTGTGTTTAGACTTTTAGGGTGACAGTATTCTGCAAGAAGCAGCAGGTGGTTAAGAACTGAATCTTGTTAATGGCTCCAGAAAGCCATTTCTCTTATGTACCTTCCCCAAGTGCTTCCAGGAATAGGAGCCGGTAGATGCCTTGAATCCTGATTGTCATCCTCCTCCTCAATTCTCTGGGACACTACATTCTTGGAAGTCCTGGTGGACAAATGAAGGAAAGACAAAAAAGCAGGAGTTTGGGACAGGTCATGGGAGAGGAGATGAATTATGAGAACCTAGGGGGAGCAAACCAAGGAAGAAGACCTGGAATACCAAGCCACAGTGAAGGTAGATCAGGATTGCAAGGAAGATGTGATCAGGAAGTTGGAGGTTAGAATGAAAGGTGGCAGAGAGGGTATCAGGAAGGAGATTAGAGAAACATTAAATTATAATAGGGAAAGTATGATAGGATAAATACAAAATCCACATGAACTGGGATTTAAAACGTAAGAAGAGCCCCTTGAGAAGAGTGTAGGAGGAAGCATTGAGGTTAACATAGAGGAGCTGCAAGGAGAGAAGATGATTATTAGAGATGTGGAAACTAGGATTAGATCCTAGATTGTGGGTGGGAGGGAATGTTCTGGAGTCTGGGGAACAGAAAAACAACAACAGGGACATGCTTCTGAGAGTGCCAACTTAATCCAGGACATTGGTGAGTCTCAAAATGGCCTGGATGTCCATCGTTTCCTTCAGACAGTGGCAGAAGGGACACACACATTTAGGGTTGAATAGACATAAACAGACAGGAAAGTTTAACTTATTGTCATGTTATTAGTAACTGCCGGCATGTATTGATATTCATTATTTATAAAGCAGTATACAGTTGTATGTATGTTCAGTTCATTATTCATTTAATCCTTAGAAAAGTGTGGGATGGGGGAAATTGAATTAGTATCTGTACTTTGTAGATGAGGTGATTGAAGCTTGTTTCAGTGGTAGAGCTTGAATTAAAGAAAACTGCCTCCTCCTTTCTCTAATCCTGAATCAAGATAAAGAGAGGTGGAAGGCACCACATTCAGAAACACTTTATGGGTGGGATTTTAAAATATGCTTTGACATCATTGAATGATGGAAGCAACTGTAAAATGATGGGATTATTATTTTCATAGCATGAAAAACATAATAGTGAGAATTAAGACCTGGTACTAGTGAATGTGAGAATTGAAGGAAGAGCCATGTGGGTTGAGAGTGGAGAGAGGAAAAATGATTGAGTTGCCGTGAAACTAGATTGTACTGAAATAATGTCCAAAGAAGAAGGAAAGAAGAATACTTAATGAGAAAAAGATTTAACAATCTGCTCCATACTACTTGGACATTTATGGTCGCCCGGTGATGTTTTATGTGGTTTGCTTGAGGACAAGAGAAAGAAGTGCTTGTGAAAGAAACACTCAGTTTGCTCTGTATGATTTGATTCTTTTTATTTTTCTCCTGTGCTTGTTCCCCATCCTTTTTCAGGTAGAGTGCTTCTTCTGCATGTTTTTAGCTGAAGGATGCGGTACATTTCCTTGCTTTCTATGGAGACCTTAGAGCTGGGTTTGTCCCCGCTGACGCCTCATCTCACATCTTCTCTACCTCCCAAGGTCTTTGCCTCTGTTGATAACTTGGCATTGGCCCTGGGTCCAGGAAGCCTGTGATGCACTTAAGCAGAGAGTCTGGAATCATCCTGACAGGCTTTGATCGGCCATGGCTGGATATGCTTCAAGTCACATGTTAACATGGGTCAAGCTGTCACAGAAAGGCAAGTGTCAAGACTAAAGGCTCATTTGCATTTTATTTAAATTTGATGGACTGAGCTTTGGACCATTTCTGGGCCAGAAACATAGATTCCATATTGCAGGGCCAACTGCTGGCTTTCAGGTACTTGTTGCCTTTGACTCTTGCAGCATCCTCACCAATCACACTCCGAATGTATTTCTAAATTTGAGCATCCACCCAAACGTAAGGGTTTGAGGGATCCCACCGTTTTTCTGACCTAGGTTTGAGAGTGCTAGGTTGTTTATCTAGACCAGTCAAGCACCAGACAGCAATGTTGAAGCCCTGGGAAGCCAGAGCACCGGGTGTGCTGATTTAAAAACAGAAAATGCAAAGTCGGACTGAAAACATCCTTAGTCTTCCAAGCAATCTGCTTTGGGTTTCCAAACTTACCTTAATTTGGTGAGAAAAGAAGCTGCCCTCTTTTTCTTTCTTCTTCTCAAACCGAACCAGCCATTTCCTAACACCACCACCATGGAGGTTGCAATGGTGAGTGCCGAGAGCTCAGGGTGCAACAGTCACATGCCTTATGGTTACGCTGCCCAGGCCCGGGCCCGGGAGCGGGAGCGGTTGGCTCATTCCAGGGCCGCAGCAGCGGCTGCTGTTGCCGCAGCCACAGCTGCCGTCGAAGGCAGTGGGGGTTCGGGAGGGGGCTCCCACCACCACCACCAGTCTCGCGGGGCCTGCACTTCTCACGATCCCCAGAGCAGCCGAGGCAGTCGGAGGAAGAGGCGACAGCGGCCGGAGAAGAAGAAGGTCCACCACCGTCAGAGCAGCTTCCCTCATTGTTCCGACCTGATGCCCAGTGGTTCTGAGGAAAAGATCCTGAGGGAGCTGAGTGAGGAAGAAGAGGAGGAGGAGGAGGAGGAGGAGGAGGAAGAGGAAGGGAGGTTCTACTACAGTGAAGATGACCACGGTGAGGAGTGTTCCTACACTGACCTGCTGCCTCAAGATGACGGGGGCGGAGGCGGCTACAGTTCAGTCCGCTACAGTGACTGCTGTGAACGTGTGGTGATAAATGTGTCAGGCCTCCGCTTTGAGACCCAGATGAAAACTTTGGCCCAGTTTCCAGAGACCTTACTGGGGGACCCTGAGAAGAGGACTCAATACTTTGACCCTTTGCGTAATGAGTATTTTTTTGACAGGAACCGGCCCAGCTTTGATGCCATCTTATATTATTACCAGTCAGGAGGCCGCCTAAAGAGGCCGGTGAACGTACCTTTTGATATCTTCACAGAGGAGGTGAAGTTCTATCAGTTGGGAGAGGAGGCACTGCTCAAATTTCGGGAGGATGAGGGCTTTGTGAGAGAGGAAGAGGACAGGGCCTTGCCAGAGAACGAATTTAAGAAGCAAATTTGGCTTCTCTTTGAGTATCCAGAGAGCTCCAGTCCAGCCAGAGGCATAGCCATCGTCTCTGTCCTGGTCATCTTGATCTCCATTGTCATCTTCTGCCTAGAAACCTTGCCTGAGTTCAGGGACGACAGGGATCTCATCATGGCAATGAGTGCGGGTGGGCACAGCGGGTTGTTGAACGACACCTCAGTGCCCCACCTGGAGAGCTCAGGGCACACGATATTCAATGATCCTTTCTTCATCGTGGAGACAGTCTGCATCGTTTGGTTTTCCTTTGAGTTTGTGGTCCGCTGCTTTGCTTGTCCCAGCCAGGCACTTTTCTTCAAAAACATCATGAACATCATTGACATTGTCTCCATTTTGCCTTACTTCATCACACTGGGCACTGATCTAGCCCAGCAACAGGGGGGTGGCAACGGTCAGCAGCAGCAGGCCATGTCCTTTGCCATCCTGAGGATCATCCGTCTGGTCCGAGTATTCCGGATCTTCAAACTCTCCAGGCACTCCAAGGGCCTGCAGATCCTGGGCCACACCCTCAGAGCCAGCATGCGGGAACTGGGCCTTCTGATCTTCTTCCTCTTCATTGGGGTCATCCTGTTTTCCAGTGCTGTGTATTTTGCAGAGGCGGATGAACCTACCACCCACTTCCAAAGCATCCCAGATGCATTTTGGTGGGCTGTGGTGACCATGACAACCGTGGGCTACGGGGACATGAAGCCCATCACTGTGGGGGGCAAGATCGTGGGGTCCCTGTGTGCCATTGCGGGTGTCTTAACCATTGCTTTGCCAGTGCCAGTGATTGTCTCTAACTTTAACTATTTCTACCACAGAGAGACTGAAAATGAGGAACAGACACAGCTGACACAGAATGCAGTCAGTTGCCCATACCTCCCTTCTAATTTGCTGAAGAAGTTTCGGAGCTCTACTTCTTCTTCCCTGGGGGACAAGTCAGAGTATCTAGAGATGGAAGAAGGAGTTAAGGAATCTCTCTGTGGGAAGGAGGAGAAGTGTGAGGGAAAGGGGGATGACAGCGAGACAGATAAAAACAATTGTTCTAATGTGAAGGCAGTGGAGACCGATGTGTGAAGCTCAATCTCCACTTGCCACTGCCCACCCCCGTACCCCAGCATCTCCAAATATATTTATGCATAGAGTGCAGTTATGAAATGAAATATGCAATTGAATCCAATGCATACAATAGTACGCCATTTACTGGTTATACATGACGTAATTGTTACTAAACTTGTGTTGCATATCAAATAAATGAAACATCTCGGAGAAGAGGGAGGCTTACATAGGAGCAAATCTATATTTTTACTAGAATGCAAGAATTTTGCACATTAACTGGAAAGGTGGTTAAAAGTAAAGATGGTTTCATGGAGAGAATGTGAACGTGTGTGTGCGTGTGTGTGTATGTGTAAGTAAACTGTCAACATTGTTGGTATTTGTGCAGTGATGGAAAAAGTTGGCATTTTGAAGTATTTACTATGTAAGAACTAATGAATTTGAACAGTCATTTATCAGTGCTTTAATAGCATCTCATGTCTTTGGATTCTATAGTTGTTTTTTAAACATTGTAAGAATTACTGTGTAGAAAAAAAAAGAAAGTGAATTATTTAATAGAATATAGGTCACAATTTTATCTTGGATTTAATTAAAGTTTATTTTTAACTGGAAATTAACTTTTAAAGAGGCTGCAGGGGCCTTTAGAAATTGATTATATTTTATTATTAATTTTGGGACGATATGACAGCAAATGCCTAACATTGTAGAAGAAACGAAATGGTATAAAATGTAACAAGTTTTGTTCACAGATAACAGGACTGGATTTTTTTTTTCTTTGCACTACTTTATATGCTGGAGATTGAGAGAGACTTCATACTGTGAATGTTTACTAATGTAACAGTTCAATGACAATCATTGGAAGAATGATTTCTTAGTCTTATTTTATTGTTCTCTTCTCTTTGTGTGAGACTAATGGCCACTCAGATAACAGCACATGATGCCCTCCTCTTTCACAATAGAAATAACTTATCTGCAAAGGGACTATGAAGTAAAATTTAGGAACCATCTTTTGGAATTGGTCTGTTACAACGATGCTTCTAAAATCATACTATTTTAAATATTCTTCTGCCTTTTAAATCCAGAATAACTTAACCAAAGCTAATGCATGCACTGAAGAATTCTTGAAGAAATAAGATGCCCAGCAGCTACAGTGATTATGGCTTAAGAGCTTTCTATTAAATGTGCGACACAAATGCCAGATTTATTAAGTTCATTTCTTTGTGCAGCTATATAAAGACAGAATGTGGGGAATTCACCTCAGAGTTTAGCATTCTATTGGCTAAAATTGATATAAAGAAGAGTTGCATCAAAACACTTGATTTTGACATCACCGCCAACATTTTTATGAAAGGAATGTGTGCCACATATAATAACTGCATTACACTTATAACAAAGAACTCTAATGAGGTAACAACTAGTGATGGGGCTTGCACTGTGAAGCCATATGAGATATAGATGGGAAAACACTGAATACATAAGAGACTTCATTCTTCAATGTTTCTTCAATGTCTATTCTTTATTAAGTGGCTGTCCTGAAGTCAAAGAAAATTACAACCTCAGGTATTTCAGTATGTAATAAACTCTGACAACTCTGAACTTAAAAGAGAGAGGAAGACTGAAAATAGCTTTTCTTGGGCTTTTAAATCCCAAGGCATCACTTGATATAAATGTGAATTTTACCTTTAATGATATTTGAAATAATAATAAAAAAAAATCCAGCGTTAGGATTAAAAGCAAAGCCACACCCTTTCCCCCCTCTTTCTGGGAAATGCCTTAAAAGAAATGCCTCCCTAGAAGGCCATTTGGAGAAGGAAATGTAGTAAGTGAGGAGGGTGATTGAAAGTTAGACCAGACATCTCAGGTGGACAAAGCAAGTGTCAAAACAAGAAAATGGCATCTTGTAATAAGACTTCAAAGATGGCATTTTAGCATACATTGGATTGGGAGTTAAGGTGTAACATGCATTTGACTATTAGTAACCATTCATTTAAAAGTCACTTAATATCTCTGTGCCCCAACATCCTTATTAGTGAAAAAGCACATATTTTTAAAAGCACGTGTTACATCACAGAGTTGTTATGAAAAGCAAGTGAAAACTTTATAACACCAAGTTCAATACAATGCCTGATGTATCTAAATTGCTTAATCTTCCTTTGGGAGAAAAAGAGACTTAGACCTGTAAATTGCATTTGCTTTATTATGATATTGTGAAGATTAAGAAATTGATTTGCCTATCCCTGAATAATTGCTGGGCTTTCTTCTTTTGGAGGAAGTTCCTGGTCATTCATGGTAAAAAGGTGACTCTGATCAGAGTATACCATATGTCATTTGCTGTGCCCAGCTAGGCTAAATTGTGTTTTAAAACTGTATAAATGTTCTCCAGCACTATTGAGCATTCTATAGTAGTAATAATTTGGCTATGTTTGAAATAAATGTATTTTATTGTTTCTACAACACCACGTGGCTAAATCTTCAAAGTCATATTAAATTTAATTTATACATTTACTTGATCATTCTGAGAATCCAGGCGCTACAGTCATTTGGGGGTTCTGGGGTTTGCCTTGATCATCCATTATTTTTTAAAGGTAAAAATGTCAAAAAGTCACAGTTACGGGCTTCCAAACCAAATATGATTAATTTATCATTAAATGTATGTTTTTCCCTCTCTGCAAGATGTATTTAATTTAGGATGTCTGCATCTTGACTCTTCGCTGAGAAGGAGGCTCTTAAGCCCTCAGGACTTGTGCGGGGGCACTTCTGTATGGAACACTTCTCTTACAGAGAATGTGTGAAGGTAAATTAATGAGTATGGCTGTAAATTTACAGCTTTTTTTTTTCTTCCCCAAATCAAAATGAGGCAACATGCTTTAAGATCATTTGTAGAAGACTGATGCTGAGAAATATGCTTCCAGGGACTATTTGTAACTGATTTAATTAGTTGTGTCTTAGGGGCCACCATGAGCATTTGGTTTTATGATAAAAGAAATGACCCCTATTTAGAGATTTGTATTCTTGGATCTGGGATCCTCAGGCCACTTTTCATATGATAATAAACATTACCAAAAGTACAGTATCTGAGGGTCATCCTAATCAGAGTCTTTTCAGGGTGGATGCCTTGTTCTGTCTTGAAAATGCTTGAAAAGGAAATAGTTTTACATAACAGTTATGCAGAAGAAAGGAAGACTAAGTATTCCTTTAATTTCTATGAGAGGGAGTCCATGGGGGCAGCAATATGACAGCTGGTCAAGGAGTCGAGAGAGCTGGCTTGTTGATCTAGCTTGTTGATCATGTTGCTTCATTTCATATCCTTGATTCTCAGTTTTCTAAAATGGACTGTCAGATTATTGGACTTGATTCCTTCGAATACCACAATTCCATGTGGAGTTGAAGGAAGTTTGTTGTTTTCTATGTACAGGTTCCCTGCTATGTGGAAGTAGAATATTCCCATGACACATTTCTAAAGTTGGAATGGCATAAATCAAAGAAGCAATTATTAGTAATTTTGAGCCATATTTTGAGTCCTAGTCCCAAGGATAATCCACCAAATCACATTGAATAACGCACAGACTCTAATGCAACATTGTCATATTGTGAAAGCAGGAATGCTAAGAGGTAAGGATAGATAGCCCATAGAAACAGTTTTGGAGGAAGAAGATGGCAATGCCACTTTCACTGCTAGGACTGTGGCTGCTGCTGGGTGGCTGATACAAAGCAAATGCAACATGCTCATTTTGCCTTCTCATAAAAGCAAAAGTCCTTTTCAGATTTATTTCTACTAGCAATAATGGGCACTAATGCAGTATATTCTCAAAAATGATGCTGTCGAACTAGAATTCTCAAAAGGGGGATCCATGTGCCTGCAAGTCAAAGGAGTTTTGATTGATAAGTGATAAGAACAAAATAGTTCAAATCTGTGCTGTAGGTGAAATGCAGAGCCAGACCTTTGAGATTTTAGAATTGGAGCTAAATGAATAGGCTGTATTTTGAAGTTATTTACTCTAACAATTTCTAAAAAGAAGGGATTCACTTAAATAACGCTTCAGACTCCAGTTGAATACATATGGTGAAAGTTGGTAAGTAAACATTTTGATTTCTTGCTTTGTTAACGTACAGTCTTGTCAGTAAACAGAGTGTTCCGACCTGTGCTGGGGAACTCATTTTATGCTTAGACACATGTAGTGTTTTGCAAGTGCTACCACTTCCCTTGTCATTTGTTTTAAACAGGATTGCTGAGGCTTTGTGAAAATCTCTTCATTAAGCGTGTGTTGAAATAGAATCCAATAGATGAGTAAGACATATTTGAGGGAAGTATGCTGAGTTAATATACATATATGCACACATACACGTATGTTTATTTACAATTTTTAAAAGTTAACATTAACCATGAAAATTACCTCTAATCACATTGGAATCATAAATAGTACTACCCCCATCTCCAAATGCCAGAAATGGCGGTCTCCATTGGTGATTTTCAGCATTGTTATACATCTTCAGCACTGACATTGCACCTGTTCTTAGACAATGTGGGAGATAAACCTAGTTTTGTTTTACATTTTTATGTGAACATGGGGTGGTGTGCTTATGTGCACCATGCAGAGTGTAACATCCCTCTTTGTATTTTTTTTTTTTTTATTGATACAGTTTAGAATGATTACGGGTTGTCATTCAGTGACAAGGGGCCTGTTCCAGGAAATCTTCCTGACCCAAAAGTCATTCTGAATTCTCCAAGGGACAATTGGTGTGGACAAAAGGTACCTCTTGGTTTTCCTGCCTGAAAAGAAACTTGATACAAAGCATGTGGTCTTCCAGATCAATGTAACCACTGCAGGTTAGAAGACAACCCTACTTTCTAGAATGAGACATTACTCCTATGTGCTGAAGTGGTTTGTGTTCAGGATTGAAGGGAACAGAGCTATTTTTGCAATAAATGGGATCATGTACTTCTGAAGTGTAAATTAAGAATGAGACTGTGAATGAGCTTTATTTCTGAATCAGTTTTCTGTTTCCATAGCAGTTCCAACTTCTTGCGGTATCTTCTTCATAAAAAAATATGTTGATACAGATAAGATTAAGAAAACATGATTATTTATGGGTACATAAATTAATCCCAGGGCATGAGAGGGATGCTTTGAAAAACACATATTTAATGACTGGTGACCCACAGTAAGACTAGGTCCCCCCAGCCTCCTCTTAGACCCATGGGTAATATCAAGTGGGACTAGAATAGAATTGTAAGGCAAATATTGTACTTAATAAGAATGCCTGCTGTCATCCAGGAAGGATAGTCTTGAATTTGGTGGTCAAGGCGTTGTTGACTTCTAGTTAAGATTTGGGGTGATTTTGGTTTGTGTTTTGCAGCTAAGATTTTTGCTTATTTGGTATCATCAATATCTTGGAAGAAGAATTTGTATCCAAAGTGCCAGAGCTAAATGACATTGATACCTGTTCAAAGTCAACTTTTGCATCCTGACCTGAAAATTACCTGTTAGGAAGATTGTTCATAAATAGTTTCTCATCTGACTGGCTTTATGCAGTCTTAGAAACATTGTCTGCCTTTAAACAGGGTCCAGAAAATATAAAATTCTGAAAGGACTCAACAATACAGTACAAAGAAACAAGTATACTGAAACTAGAAAGTGAAAAAAATAAACCTAGTGGGAAGTCAAATCTGTCATTTAAGCAAACGTGTCACATATCAGAATGACGTTAAAAGGTAAGCAGAGATCAAGAGGGGACCATTGTGGTGGACTAACATAAAGCACAGATAAAGTCCTGAAATAATTTGTAGGTTAACATTTTCTCTGAAAATGATGGAAATTCTTACTTTCATTAGTGGTGGTCTTAATAGTAGGAAAGCTAATAAATATGGAAATAGCCTGCTTTTTTTCAGAGATTGGCATTATATGAAGATATATTTGGATTATTTTTGTTTATTTTTTTTGTCTGTGATTCTATAGGTCTATTATATTTTTAAAGTCAGAGAGCAGGAAGGCATTTTTATCCATACCTGCTCCAGCTACTGGCAATTGAGGGATCAGTTACTACCTCTGAATCCCCTAGAAGGAGCTAAATAAATATCCCTTATGGATCTTGACTAAAGTTGGGAGTCAAAGAATTGTGTATTTTTAAATAATAATAATAATAATATATATATATATATACACACACACATATATACATTAATTACATATATATTATATATTTCAAAATGTGTCTTTATTCTGGCAAAAGATACATAAGCAAAATGAGTGATCTGAGGCATTGAAAGAGATTTGAAGTGAGAATGTGTAATTAATTCCTATGCGTTTTGGAGAAATGGTAAGGGTTAAGGATTGCAAAACCTTTCTTTATACTCTTGGTTAAATTTTTGTGCTATCTAACCACAGTTACATTAGGGCAAAGCTCTGAGATAGTCCATGGGATAAGGATGTATGGAATTTCTTTCCCAGAAAAGGCTGATTTTTGTTTTATGGAATATTACAAAGTCATTATTTTCTTTTTCATGAACATTATCGACGTTGTATGAAGGATGGATGTAGCCTAAAAACTAGACTATTTGAATCCCCATAAATTGTTGTGCTCTCCAGAAATAGACTTACCTAAAGTCATTATCTTTCAGCATTTTTGTTATAACTGTTCTTTGATGTGACTTCCTTAATTCTGTTTCAATTATACATGAAAAAGTCTTAGGTTAGTGTTTGTTTGTGTGTGTGAACATATCAGTATTTCTTGCCCCTGAGGGCACTTAAATACAAAAATCTTATTTGTGGGAAAATACCCTATCAATTGGAGACAGAAGGGCTATCTTATTTGAAGACTCTCATTAACTAGCATTGAGGATGCATGCTCTTCTATTTATAAACTTAATTCCCTCAGACCTAAATAGATTGATGCCTCCCTTGGAGAAATACTAATGGTGTTGATAGCACCTGAGTGAGTCTTCTTTTCTCCTTCAATTGGTAGGGATCATGATCCAAACGAGACTTTCATTTGTTATCAGGCACTGTAGGATATAATTAATGAAGCTCCCATTGAATCTCTAGGGAATATGGTAGGACTTGTATGTATTTGTTTACCTCCAGTCTTAGTGTCATTACTAGCATTAATGCTGGTGACACTAAGACGTCCAGTTTTAGTGTCATTACTTGCATTTTAGTTTGGGAATGATTATACCTAATATTGAAGTGACGTTTCATAAGAAAATCGAGACTATAAGCTTTATTTACTACATTAATAGCATGTTAAATATTTTAAAAATTAGTACATGATTTAGAGATTGGAACCTATGTTCAAGCCATTTATTTGGACAGAGATTTGACTCTGAAATAAGAATCCATTTATTCAGGTTTCTTGAGGGGATAATAGGGAATGAATCTCTATTTGTCTTCCCTTTTCCTGTCTTTTCCACATTATAATTCAATGGGTGGATTTCATATTCCCATTTTATCTTCTAA